TATATATATATATATATATATATATATATATTTATATCTGTGTGTGTGTGTGTGTATTTATATATATAAACTTGATGAGTAGTATTTCGCCCCCATTTAAAAGAAAAGAAAGAGAGGAGAGGGGAGGAATGAACACAGACACAATCACTAACTCTACTAGATCAAGCATAGAAATTAGCTGACCTATTGCCTTCCCTGTGTTTAAAGTGAAACTTTAGTTATAGGAGTAGCTTGAAAGAGACTTGAAAATATTTTCTTAAAATAATTATTTTTATGAATTTGCATAACATTAATTTAAAATTTTATCTAATTATCACCAAACGGTACCCTTATTTACTTATGTATTATTTATTTTTTACCTTATCTATTTATTTATATTTTTCTCTTATAAATTTGATGGTCGTATAAACCATAGTAAAATACTGTGAAGATGTCTCTAAGCTACAAATGTAGGAGTCGGGAGATGCATGAGCGGCAAACCGCATATGTTGTAGTTGATCACATATGTCGTAGTGATTAATTGTGATAGTGTTCATAGGCCGTAGCGGTCGAAGTTGAGCGTTGCACGAGCTGTGTATCAAATTAATTGTAGTAGCGAGTCGCGAGCAGAGTTGGGAGAAGCACAAACTGTTGAACTCGTAGGCCGTAGTGATGAGCCATGATGAAGTTTGTAGGTCATGAGGACCGGATTCGAGAGCTATAAGGAGGGAGCTTTTGAAGTTCGGAGAAAGTCACTGTCGTTGGAGTGTATTGTTACGCATTCTTCTAGAGGTGTCGTTGCACCGTATGTAGGGGTTACTATTACTCTGCCATCGGGGTATGTCGTTGTGCCTTATCGGGGGTGCGTTGTTGCATCGTCTACGCGAGGCGTCACTACACCGTATTTGGCCGCATTGTTACACCATCATCGGGGCGTGCTTTTGCTTCATATATTAGGGTATATTATTCATAATCTTTGGGGCACATTGTTACACCGTGTTCAGGAAGTGTCGTTACACTGTACGTGAGGGTATTGTTACACCGTCATTGAGGTGAGTCTTTACATTACATTTTGTGGTATGTTGTTACATTGTCTTTTGGAGACATCATTACACCGCATCTGAGGTACGTTGTTTCACTGTCATCGGGATGTGTCGTTGCACCATATCTGAAGAGTGTTATTACACCGTCTTAATAACACATTGTTGTACCACATTCTAAGATGTTTTTGTACATTATGTGGAGCTGATGTTACATCTTCTTGAGGGTTTGTCATTGCATCATATCTATGGTGCGTTGTCATACATTCTTTCGAATGCGTCATTACACAGTATCTGGGGTGCATTGTTACATCACAATGGGTTGCACCTTATCTTGTGTGCATTGTTATACTTTTTTTGGGATGCATTATTACACTATATATGTGGTGCATTATTACACTATCATCGGAGTGTGTCATTACACCATATCTTAGGTGAGTTGTTACACAGCCTTCGGAGGGCGTCATTACATTGTAATTGGGGTGCATTGTTACATCATTTTCAAGGCGCTCTACTGTTTTGCAACGTAAGCTATGACTCTATAATGAACAATATGACTTCACAAGGGACCTCATTGCAAGGAGCAGTAGACGACCAATGATGGTCATTAGTGGCCGATAGTTGGTGGTCAGAGTTGGCTGGTGAAGGTGACTAGAGCTGGCTTGAGGCAGAGGCAACATCGTTGGTCAGAGTTGGTAGAAGCAGCCGACGGAGTGGGAGGCATTTGTCAGACCTATTGCAAAATGGGTGTTGAACTCTAACTCCTCTTCCAAGATAAATGTTTTATTTATTTATCTATAAAAATTAGGTTACAAATAAGGAATGAATTCAAACAACTCTGATTGGATGACTCGGAGCTCAATTATACAATGTTCAATGAACATTTAAGTCTAATAATGATGTCAAAATCGAGCAATGTTGAGCTCGTTGAATTATTCTTGTTGAGACGTTCGATTTGATTATAAGCATATCATATTCAAAATTTATTTGACCTTCCAGTTATATCTGAAAATCTTCCAAAAGTAGCTTAATGACTTAATCAGAGCTTGATTGGACTCATAATGGAGCAATTTTGGTTGTGTTTGACCTTCTCGTTAGCCGTTCAGTTTGAATATATGTTTGCAAAAATTAGAGTTCTGGATGACTTATATTCAAAGTTTGAATGTTTCTAACTCAAAAACTTGCGTTGAGATTCGTGTCACGCCTCTAATTCATGTTAGACGAATGATGAAACTTTGTTGATGGCGTATTAGGGTTATTGGTGAATGCCACTATAAAGCTGCTGTCATGGAATAGATTTGCTGGTTCAGTAACTGAAACTATAAAATTATGATGGTGTAAGATCCACATGATGTTTACGCATTATTGCAAAAGAGAGTGCATGGTACTCTGCATTAGTGGAGTACCGATTTTTATCACCTATGTTTTGAAATTTTTAATATGGTTTTTTTATGGTATAAATATTAGTGTTGAATTTTTTTAGGGAATTGCTTCTATATTATTGAATTCAAATATGTTTTGGAGACCAACCTAAGGAATAGAGCGCTAAAGAACGAGAGAGAGAGAGAGAGAGAGAGAGAGAGAGAGAGAGATGCAAAAAAGAAGCACAACAATGAATAATAAATTTGTGTAACATTAAAGTAAACACATAAGACAAGGTATTTCATTCAGTGCATAAATTTGGCTAATAAGAGCCATAGTTGTGATCAGGCGTTTGTTGATCTGAACGGGCCTCATGTCAGGCCACTGAGAGACTAGGCGGTCGTTGGTTTGGGTTGTCCTCAAGGCGAGACTACTTGTTGAAGCTCAACATCAACCGCCTTGGAACTGGGGAATCCTTCTCACTTATTTGACCTGCTCGAGTTTGGAAACGACAGGTTTGTCCAAACAAACATGGTTATATGGATTATTCAGAACTGATCTACTCCTTATCCGTCTGAGGCGCATCTTTTTCCCTGATTGGCCGGCTAAACACACTGCCCCAAGCCCGCGAGGCCACATCACATTCTCTGTGATCCTCGAGTTACTTTGCTATTCGTGTTGACATATTTTCAATGTACATATTTTGTCATGGGGCTCATACAATCCATGGGAGACCTCAAGAAGGAAATTGATGGAAGAAAATTGATGTGTACCCCTAAATGCTCTAGTTTTCTTCTTTTGAAGGCAATTAATGTACAAGTCCTTTCTTTCTTCCTCTCTTATCAAGGATAAAATATGTGCGGATTGGGTGTATCTTAGGGTGTACTTAGTTGAGATATTAAATAGAAGAAATTAGTTTGCAATAAAGTTCAATTTAGTTTTTGAATTGCTAAAAATTATGAAACACTTCAATTTAATTTTCATAAAATAAACACAAAATTTTATTTATATAATAATCAATAATAATAAATGCATATTGTTTATTTTTAGTACTCGAAAGTGTGTTGAGTTTCCCTAACAAGAATTAGTTGCAATGGTCTCACCAATTTAGAAAGGAGGCTTGTGCATCTTCCTACAATGGAAATCAAAGCAAACAACCTCAACTTCAACCTATTTTGAAGAAATTTGCAATCAAATTCTTGCATCATCTCTCACAAAGAGATTTATAAATATATAATTAATTATGTAACATTTATTCTAAGGGCCTTAATTTTGATAAAAGATATTATTTTATCAATCTGAAATAAAATTCCTTGTTTGTTATTGTTCATTTAAGGAACACAAATAAATATTTGCCTTCAAGCTCTCCCCTCTCCCCCATCCTCCCATCCCTTCATTTCCAATCCTATCCTTCCCAAAAAGAAAGGGTGCACCATCACCAGTCCTTCCACCTCCTTCCCGTCTCCCAAGCCTCATTCCCACGTTGTGCACTATGTTCGCCTCAGCGCTATCCCATGCAACGAAAATGTTGTCCAAATCGCCAAATTCAGACAGCCAAGGATCGGAGGCGGCGAGAACCCATTCCAGGGCTTCCCAGCAGTCATCGTAGGCGGCCGGGAGAGGGTTTTCGGGCGCGAGGCGGTAATCAACTGAGACGGAGAGGATTCCGGCTCTGGCGGTGAGGGAGTTGAGGTGGGCGTGGTAGCGCGAGGAGGAGGCGCGTATGAGGCAGAAGCCGCCGCCGTGGATGGAGAGGAGAACAGGGGGCTTTTTTGGGGTTGTGGGAGGGGACGGGGGAAGGTAGAGGCGCGCGGAGAGGCCGGTGGCGGGGTTGATGGGGGAGGCGCATACGAGGCCGAAGCGGCCGCCGTGGATGGAGAGGAGAACAGGGATCTTTTTTGGGGTTGTGGGAGGGGACGGCGGGAGGTAGATGCGGGCGGAGAGGCCGGTGGCGGGGTTAATGGGGACGTCTTTGGATTGGAGGCCGGTTGGTTGATCAAGGGACGGGGGACGAGCTCGTCGGAGTTGAAGCGCTCCACGCTGCCGCTCCGGTGAATGCGGATGGCGTCGGGAATTTCAAAGAAGATTTTGTCGGCTTCAGCGGGGGAAGATGGTGGCGAGGAGGAGTTCATGGCTGTGTTGGGAGGCGGGAATGGAGGAGATTATATATAGAAGGTGAAGATGCAGAGGGGTTTCCGATCATTAAGGCTGTCCAGCCGATCTCAACGAATCAAAGATGCTATTTACACATTTCTTACATCATTATATATATTTTTTGCCCTTCACACATTTCTTACATATTTAACATCTAAATATCCATATTTGCATGCATACCACACAAATCCATAACATCACTATATTTGAGGAAATGAAATACACATTTTTATGCATGGTTCTTTGAGACCAAGATGTTATAAATATAAAATTGAGATTTTGGATGTTAGATATGGAAATGATCTGAATTGTGTGTTATTTTTCTATCTCCTTTTACTTGTAAAGCTCACTGTAATTTTAATGGATATTAAATTTTCTGTTTCACTCATTAGAAAGAATTAATTTAGCGCTACCTTATTTGGATTGGTTTTAAAGAGCTGGGAGAATCCACGTTAGATACTTGTATTTGAATGCATGACTTAATTTTAACTGTTCAATCATCATTTACACTTCAAAATAATTATTTTATTTGTTAAAATTTGTTATAATCTAGGATTATCCGTCGAAGACTACAATCACAACTAGTTTAAAACAAATATGTTTAATAGAATAGAAAGATCACCATTACATCTTTGCAATCATTTATAAGAATATTAGATCTCATGTTTATATTATCTCAGAAGGTCATGGTGGCCGGGTGATCCATCATGTAGTTGGCTTAAGTGGTCGGCAGGTTTGGTCAGCCAAGGTAGCTGGCCGCTTAAGTTGACCAGCCAAGGTGGCCGGGAGGCAGTGGCAGACCCAATGGCCAGCCTCGGCTGCGGGTCTTCTGCTTGTAGCTGCTAGCTTTCTTCTGGTGGGTCATAACTTTAGGATACAAAAATGAAATCTATGGCATCAACACAGCTCACGGCAGAGAACTACTCAATATGGAGTGCACAATTCGTGAAACTCTTTCCTAGGACAATACATCACTTGATATCAATAAACTTGCTATCACCAATCAAGATCACAACCTTTGGAAGCAGACGATCAAAATTAAACTGCTCCAAGATCTCCTCCAAGGAATGTAATGTTTATTACTGATATCAATCAATGCTCTGAACAGGTTTCACAGAAAAGACCGAGCAGCATGATGAAAAAATCTGAATCAAACTTTCACCAAAAAATAAAAAGCTGCTCTGCTTCTGCTTTACGCTTCTTGCATCCAGACGTGCACAAAATATTGATTCAAAATACTCAAAATGAAACCAGAATAAAGTACCATTTAAATCTCAGATATTATAGTCATACAATCAAAAGAGATTCTATAACAAAGAGCTAGCTCAGAATCTTTACGATCTCAAACAGTAGACAAAGAACAGACAGTAATTTAGTGTACTTTTTTATTTCGCAAACTGTAAAAGACGTTGATGGTTAGGATTTGTTGAAGAAGTTGACAAGCCGCTCTATGATCTCCTCCGCCTTGGAGGTCTCAGGCTTCATGAAGTAGAAACAATGTTCCTCACCCTCCGACTCCAAAAACTCTGCTTCCCCTTCCCACCCGCTCTCCTTCAACTTCTGGTAATAAAGCCTCCCCCTTTCCCTCAACAAATCCAGCTCCGCGACGCCCACCAACACTCGCCGGCACCCCAACGTCGCCAGGCTCGGCGCACCCTCAGCCGCCGGATTGATTCTTGGGTCGTCGAGCCCCGTCGTCTCTGGACATACGATCAGCCACAGCGCATCGGAATCCTTCGCCTTCAAGGGTTCCCCTTTCCCGCTTTCTATCCCTTCATTTCCAATCCTATCCTTCCCCCAAAAGAAAGGGTGCATCAGCACCAGCCCTTCCACCTTCTTCCCCTCTCTCCCAAGCCGAATACCCACGTCGTGCACTATGTTTGCCCCAGCGCTTTCCCCAGCAATGAAAACGTTGTCCAAATCGCCAAATTCAGACAGCCAAGGATCGGAGGCGGCGAAAACCCATTCCAGCATTCAGGGCTTCCCAGCAGTCATCATAGGCGGCTGGGAGAGGGTTCTCTGGCGCGAGGCGGTAGTCGACTGAGACGGCGAGGATTCCGGCCTTAGCGGTGATGGAGTTCACGTAGCCGTGGTATATGGAGGAGGAGGCGCGTACGAGGCAGAAGCCGCCGCCGTGGATGGAGATGAGAACCGGGAGCTTTTTGGGGATTGGGGCAGAGAAGGGCGGGAGGTAGAGGCGGACGGAGAGGCCGGTGGTTGGGTTGATGGTGACGTCTTTAGATTGGACGCCGGTTGGTTGATCGAGGGACGGGGGGACGAGCTCGTCAGGACGGAGGCGGGCCACGCGGCCGCTCCGGTAAAGGCGGATGGCGTCGGGCAATTCAAAGATGACCTCGTCGGTGTCAACGGGAGGAGAGGATGACGCGGAGGAGCTCATGGCGGCGTTGGGAGAGTTGAATGGATGAGATTGGGGAGAGCGGTAGATGGCTTTTAGCTTTAAAGCCGGTCTTGTCGACCTGAATCAATCGGAATATATATATGGCTTTTAATCGGTAGATGGCTTTTAGCTTTAAAGTCGGTCGGGACTTTTATGGCGCAGAAAGCTCCCACGCTTTAAAAGCGGTGCTGCAGATCTCAACCAATAAGAATATTATAAATATAACAACCTACTTAAATTTTGCTTTTTATATTTATATCAATTAAACATTCATATCACAAACTAAATACTGATATTTTAACAAAACAAAACAAAATAAATCAAAATACATTCTTTTCATATATAAATATGATGTGTGTGGGTTTTCAGAAATATGATATAATTTTTTTATGTTATTAAATATTTATTGGTTGAAACCATGAGACACCTCTTAAAAATATTTTTTTTAAAATACTTATTTTTAGGAATTTGCATCATATTAATTTATAATTTTATCTAATTATCGCCAAAAGATAATTAAACTTGATCCCTTATTTACTTGTTTATTATTTGTTTATTTATTTTATTTATTTATATTTTTCTCTTATAAATTTTATGGCGGTATAAACCATAGCAATGAATTGTGATGATGTTTGTAAGCTACAGATGTAGAAGTCGGGAGATGCACGAGCAACAAACTAAATATATAGTAGTTGGTTACATAGGCCGTAGTGATTAATTATGATAGTGCTCATAGGCCATAGTGGTCGGAGTCGGAGTTGCACGAGCTGTGTATGATGTTATTTGTAGTAGTGAGTCGGGAGCAGCACAAAATGTTGACCACGTAGGTCATAGTGATGAGCCGTGATGAAGTTTGTAGATCATGGGGACCGGAGTCGGGAGCTACAAGGAGGGAGTTTTTGGAGTTTAGAGAAAGTCACAGTTGTTAGAGTGTATTGTTAGGTCGTCTTCTGAAGATGTCATTGCACCATATGTGAGGTTAATATTACCTCGTCATTGGGAATGTCGTTGCACCTTATCGAGGGTGTGTTTTTGCATTGTCTACGAGAGGCGTCACTACACCGTATTTGGGGTGCATTGTTACACTGTCATCGAGGTGTGTTTTTACATTATATCTTGGGATATGTTGTTATGTAATTTTCAGAAAGCATTATTACGTTGCCTTCAGAAAAAGTGTGGTTGCACTGTACGTGGGGGTATTGTGACACTGTCATTGGGGTGAGTCGTTGCACCGTATCTATAGTATATTATTACTTTGTCTTTTGGAAATATCATTACAGTGTACCCGAGATACATTGTTACATTGTCATCAAGATGCGTCATTGCACCATATATAGAGTGTGTTATTGCACCGTCTTAATAACGCATTGTTATACCGCCTTCTGAAGGTGTTGTTATACCGTATGTGGGGTGTTGTTTCATCATCTTCTGGGTATGTCATTACATCGTATCTAAGGTGCATCGTTCACATTCTTCCAAGAGCGTAATTACACAGTATTTGCGGTGCATTGTTACATCATCATGAGGGTGTGTTATTGCATCGTATCTTGTGTGCGTTGTTATACTTTCTTTGGGATGTATTGTTACATCGTTTATATGGTTCGTTTTTACACCATCATCGTGGTGAGTCATTACATATCTTGGGTGCATTGTTACATAGTCTTTGGAGGGCGTCATTGCAGTGTATCTGGGGTGCATTGTTACATCATTTATGAGGTGCTCCGCCGTTTTACAACGTAAGATATGATTCCAAAATGCACATTATGACTTCACAAGGGGCTTCATTGCAAGGAGCAACCGACAACTAATGATGGTCATTAGTGGTCGATAGCTGGTGGTCAGAGTTGGCCGGTGACAGTGGCTAATGCTGGCTTGAGGCAGAGACGACATCGTTGGCCAGAGTTGGTAGATGCAGCTGACTGAGTGGGAGGCATTTGCCATACCTAGTGCATAATGGATGCTGAACTCCGGCTCCTCTTCTAGGATCAATGTTATTCTTTATTTATAAAATTTAGGTTACAAATAAGGAATGAATTCAAACAACTCTGATTCGATGGCTCGAAGAGATTCCCTCAATTATACAACGTTCAATGAACATTGAAGTGTCCTAATGATGTCTAAATTGAGCAATATTGAGCTCGTTGAATTCGTCTTGTTGAGACGCTCGGTTTGACTATAAGCATGTTATATTTAAAATGTATTTAACCTGCCAATTATATCTGAAAAGCCTCCAAAAGTAGCTTAATGACTTGATCAGGGCTTGATTGGACTCAAAATGGAGCAATTTTGGTTTTGTTTGACCCTTCTCGGTTAGTCGTTCAGTTTGGATTGATAACTTTTAATCAAAGTTTGAATGTTTTTTGTTTAAAAAATTGCTTTGAGATTCCTGTCACACCTCAAAATTCATGTTAGATGGATGGTGAGACTTAGTTGATGGTGTATCAGCGTTATTGGTGAATGTCATTATAGAGGTGTTGTCATGGAAAAGATTTGCTAGTTTAGTAATTGAAATTATAAAATTATGAAGACGTGAGATCAGCATGATGTTCACGCATAATCGCAAAGGAGAACGCATGCTACTCTGCATTGGTGGAAGACTTGGCTTCTGTAGGTTACTTATTTACTGTCCAAAAGATGAAAGTATGAATTAGGACGAAGCAAAACTCAGTGGTGGAGCCCTGGGCTTGTGTATCGCTCAAGGCAAGGTGGTAGTTCTTTAAGAATGCAGGGAATAATACCCTTGTCGTTGATGTGAAAACCAACAATTGTAATTTTGTCGATTGTCGTTTTGTTAGATGAGGGATATCGAGTTATTATTTTATTTTTTGTGGTGATGCGGTGGAGTTTGCTCGTAAGATGGATAACTTGGGATTGATTGGCTTTTTATAAGAAGCATTTGAGAGTAAGCCAAATGTCTGATATTTTCCATTTAACATTTTTTACTTGCTTTCTACGAGTATATGGGGTCTCAAAATTCCATTTATGATGAAAAGCAGTGACATAGCTTGCATGTCGTTTTCAGAGGATTTATGTTGGAGGCAGTTGCATTGCTTGTTAAAGCTTTTATACTCAGTAAGGCCCTCGGTGATCAAGTATATATATATATATATATATATATTTCCAACAAATCATTTCGCTCAACTTATAAGAGAGAATGTACAAATCATTTCGCTCAACTTATAAGAGAGAAAGTACGTTATATGATATTACATTTCCGCCCCTACTTTAGGTGGGGGCATACAATGTCTGCATGGTTGCTCTACGACTCGGCCGGTTGGGCCAGTATGACTTTGACTAGGTAAGACCGGTTCGATCGGCTAAACTGAGTCGATGCAACCGCTTGGTTGAGCATGATTAGCTTCAGGTCGACAGGACTGACTCAGCCGACCAAATATGATCACTCAATTCCTATCATTTACATGTCTAATGTCTAAATTTTTTTTTTTTTATATTTATACCTAGGGTTGTCAAAACGGCTCGTTATTTGCGAACAGCTCGTGTTCGGCTCGTTAATTTTGTTTGATAAGTTAATGAGCCGAACACGAACTAAGATGTGTTCGTTCGTGTTCGGCTCGTTT